TCTTAAAATCTAGCCACTGCTCAGATTCTTATAATCTAGCCACTGCTTAGATTCTTAAAACCTAGCCATTGCTTACCCATGTTCAGACTCCTTAAGAGTCTGCCCAATATGACGGATGTTCTAATAAACCTTGTCTTTGGCTGAAAGAAGGCTTGGGTTGAATTCTTTTAGGGAGGACTCACGTGTTGTGATTTTGGGGTCCCAGCACCCCTGAATCTCTAAACCGCATCAGGGAGATATTTGAGGAGGGAGTGCAAATAAGCTATTGTAATAGTTCAGACCAGAAGAGATGGGGACTTGAATTACGGTTGCTTCTACATGGGTGGAGAGAAGAGGGAGATGTTGAGGTTAAAAAGTACAAGAACTAGTAATAAATTGGATAAATAGGGGAGTGAGAGTGAGGAGCTGAGGATGATTCCAAGGTTGTGAAACAGTCATTGGTGGAATGGTGGTGTGTTCGACAGTAGTAAGTACCACCTATTAAAGTAATACATACTTTTCCCTCAGAAGAGGGGAGGATTTGTTGGGAAAGTTAATGAGTACTCTGTCAGACATACTGAGTCTGAGATACTTAGAGGACATTCAGTTTGAAATGTCCAAAAGGTAGTTGATGATAAACAACTAGAGTTCAGAAGAGATTTGGGTAGGATATGTTGCTATTATTGTTCAGTCATTTTGATCATGTCTGATTCTCCCTGACTCCATTTGGGGTTTTCTTGGCAAAGATACTGGAGTGGTTTCCCACTTCTTTCTCCTTTTACTTACTTACTTACTCCTTTGTCATTTTACAGATGAGGAAACTTAAGGCAAACTGGATTAAGTGACTTGCCCCAGGTCATATAGCTAGTTAGTGCCTGAGGCCAGATTTGAACTCAGGAAGAAGTCTTCCTGACTCCCAGGGCGACATTCTATCCACTGCATCATCTAGCTGATACATATTATCCTTTATTATTCTATTACATTTTCACCTTTGAGAGGCAGTGATGCAGAACAGGTAGGTGCTATTATTATCCCTATTTTATAGATGAGGTAATTGATACTTAGAGTGCTTTTGGGATTTGCCCAGGGACACACAGCTAGCAAGTAATGAAACTAGGTTTCAGACTCAGGCCTCCATGACTCCAAGTCCCACATTCTGTCCACTGTTCTATCTAGCTTCCCACAAACCTAAACAAACTAAAAATCGCAAGTCCAAGAAAACACTTGAAAATTAATTTCTTACACTAATACAGAGTTATATCACAACACTCTAACCCCTGAACTTTTCTCATATCAAAAACCAGAAATGACTTACATTGGCTGAAAGTTGAGATGTGAGTGTTGCAACCTTTTCCTGTGATGCGACCAGCTCCCTCCGTAGTTTGTGAATTTGCTAAATTTGAAAAAAAAAATGAATTTACTAGTTTAGCTTGACTTTCAACTAAGACTCATTCTGATGATATATTTTGATATGAGGGACACTATGAAATCTGGTAAAGGTCAAACTGACAGGTATCAAATAGATGGACAGATAAATGATAGAGATAGATAGATAGAGGGAGAATCTAATTTATCATTATTATTACTATAATTATTACTATATCCCAGATTGTACTGTTGGTACTACCAAGTTTAAAAACATAGGGGCAGCTAGGTGCAGCAGTGGATAGAGCTCCGGACTTGGAGTCAGGAGGACCTGAGTTCAAATCCAACCTCAGACACTTGACACTTACTGGTTGTGTGACCCTGGACAAGTCACTTAACCCCATTGCCTCACAAAAAACAAACAAACAAAAATGCTTCAAATATGAGGAGACTGACAAATTTGTTTATCTCTAGTCAACCTTGGTACATCCAGAGAGGCTTATCACCAGCAGGTTGGCCAGCGAATATTGAGTATTCTTAACAGAAATGTATAAAATATAGAAAAATTCCACTCTGAAATACTAGCAAAGGAAAAGTCCCTATCAATGAAATTAGGGGGGTTGGTTTTTTTTAAATATTTACTTAAGTTGATCTTTATGCTTTTATTAACTGATGATTTATTAAGGATAGATGAAATTGTTTCACTAAGAAGAGAAATACTCAATTTAAGGACACAGGATTCAAACTCAGATTCCCCATACAAAAATTACAAATCCTAAAGAAAGAAATACCAATTTTTTTTCACCATTCAAATCAAATTCCACTTGTGATACACTTAGAGTACAGAATGAGAGAAGAGAACATAACTATATGCTAAATATCATCAATCAAACTTGAAAAAATAATTTTAAACTTCCTTTGAGCTCCCTTTGCTTTTACCTCCCCCCCTCAACAAAATCATTGTCCCCTTTCATCTGATACCTTCTTCTTTCAAACTTTTACACTAGAAGAAAAGCTTTAAAATGTTTTTAGTCTTAAACTATTTAAAAAATACATTACTTTGGATCCTACATTGGCAAAAATTTCCAGATCCCTGTGTGTGTGTGTATGCCCTGCTATTAGACTACCTGTGGTCTCTCTTCATCTGTATCAATACGTCCAGGTTTGGCTACTTTAAGGCTTGTAGAAAATTCTATAGCTGACAGGAATGCCAACTCTTATCTCTAATATATGGGCTTCAGGGAACAATCAGTATTCATGTTGCCTAATGTACCGAGGATGTCTACATTTCCTATTAGTGTACTTTTCACTAAATTATACCTTAATGAGTGTTTACAATAGTTTTGGTGTCTGGCACATCCATTCATAAGGATGACGAGAAAGTATTTTTCTTTTTTGAACGAAAAGGTAAACCACTAAACTCTTACCCATTAATTTAAAATACCAAATCCTTTTTCCCAAAATTAACCCAGATGTTAGGTTAAAAATACAGTGGGAGATATCCGTTATATTTGTTTCAAGAATTAATTCATAGGTTGACCTCATACTAATTTTCTTATCAATATTAAGTATAAATTTAAGTCATTATTAGTAGGTACCTGCATTTCATGAAATTTTTCAGGCATTTAAGTTTACAGTAAGTCCTATCCTTAAAGAATTTGTGCTTTTAAGGGTGAAAAACTTTCTACTCATATAAGGCTCTGTTCTCTAATGATAATCCTTCTTTGTAGCTTAATTGCCTCAGCCTGAAAAAAAGATTTCTGATGTGCTTCAACTAAATTCTCTTTTTTCTCTTCCACAGTCAAATGGAAGTCAAAGTCTAACATGAATTAGTTTGCATATTTGGTTTAGGTGACTTTCAAAGAGGTCAAGTTTGGGATACTTCATTTTACTACATTTCATAAAAATAGTAGTTTTCTCAGTTAAGAGCGCTCTAGGCCAAATGGAAAAATACAAGGCTATCAGATGTTTATTTTATTTGTAAATAAGACCTTAAATTATTACTGTTCAAAAAGAGATACATACTGACAGCAAACACTGCTCTAGTTATTTTCATATATTTTTAAAAGACTCTGGGAGTCATATCTTTACATCTCTAGACATAATGTCACCAAATCATTTTCGGTAAGTTCCTGTCTGTTATACATGTAAATCAAGTTAGGTCCAAAAATCATCTTTCCCTTAGTGGTCTATTCCAACAGAAAAATTTAATTCAATTCCATTCTCTGTATAGACACTTAGAGTTTGAAATAGAGTTCATTTGTCGTATGATCCAGAATGCATTCAGAAGCAATGCTATTCTAAATAAGAAGTCAAAAATGCATAATGACCATATTATGAGGTACAGATAGTGAAAAGGAAGCTGGAACTTGCTGAGGAAGCAAAGAGATTAGATATTTCTTGATCTGTGTCAAGCTTTTCAACCATGTTATGGCCTTGGGAGAAAAAAAAAAAACATGGTTTACCATGGAAAGTAATTTAGGCATTTGAACCTCATGGACGTGCTTCAGTTTACCAACTGTGAACACAGAAATGACATTAAAATGTATGCTGATGAGGGATAATTAAATTGGGATTGCAAGAAAGGAATCTATCTGCATGGGTAGTTACCAACACATCTTTTTTCCTCTTCAGTTGTGTTGCCTCAACATAAACCATCCAGAAAATCATTACTTCTCTTTGAAGAATGTCTAAGTTAAATATCTTCTGGCAAGGTCACATCTTATGCACACTTACACACACACACACACACACACACATTCTTTATAGGCCCAAACTTGACTTGAACATGATAGAGAAGTATATGCTAATGTTTTTGTATGGGATTAGAACCACATGCCTACCACACAGATCTCATGAAACAGCCGTCAGAGTCATAAATGACTTTGAAAATGACCAAGTGGGTTAGGGTGTTGGACTTAAAGTCACTTATTTTGTTCTGTAAATATCTTACACCTAGGAACCAGTACATACTGTAGCATTCCAGAGGCCTGGTGAAATGAAATTGTAACAAAATACCAGTTATAGAAGAATCTGGCCTAGAAATCTGGGTGGTAAAAGTGCCTACAGTATTTCCTTTTAATTTTGAGGAGTCTTTTGTTGAAAAGAATTCTGGTACGTTTCTATAATCTTTCTGTAAAATATTCTCAGCAAATAGAAGAGCCCATATTTGTTCAGCAATTGTATCACGGAGACCTCTAGTGGTAGCAATGTTCCATTATTCATGAATTTTAACACCATTAACATACAAGAATGTTATTAGGATTTAGGCACAGAAAGCTACAACTACTGATAAACAGGAAGGAAGGAAGGAAGGAAGGGAATTAAAAGACAGAGTGGAAGGCAGAGATGATAGAGATAAAGATACATAGACAGAAATAGAGATGATGGAGAATTATTATTATTTATATATTTACCTCAGAATGTGCTTTTTCTTCAGCCTGCAAAAGAGAAACAGAATGACTTTAGAATCAGGGAAATCGAGTATACATACAAGTGAAATGCATTTAGGGTTATTATTTAAATTCTCTTGGTTTCAGTTTATTGTCTTTGGTGGTAAAATAAGTAGTTGGACTCTATAACCTCTTTATGGAACTTTCCAACTCTAAATCCATGACCTTATGGTATAGAATGAGTTAATGATGTCATCAGAATCAAGTTATTTGCAACTTAAAAACAGTTTCCTTTCTTTTATGATTGGCAGCATACTGGTCATAGCATCAGATAGAAGCAAAAAAAAAAGTATAGGGGAATCTGACTGTTTCTAGTTAGACTTTAAGGGTCATTCTCTATGACTTATGGGAAATGCAATGTCATCAAATACAATGATTCTTGTAAATCCCACTATGGAAAGCCGACTACTTATATACTATCCTAATATATCTTAAGTGAAGCTAAAAAAAAAAGTTACAAAACAAGCAAAACAAACAAACAAAATCCAACTTTGCTGACCTCTGATGATCACCATTGTTTTCATTTCTATTGTCTTTCCCTATTAAGCCACAAAGCAGTAAAATGAGCGCTCTGAGGATGAAGGTGGTAAAAGTAGCTGATAAACATCTTTAGTTGAAGACTATGAAAATAAGGACTGTTGGAATACCTGCTGGGTGTTTTTGGCCTCAGTTGTGAAAAAACTCTTAGCTCTGGTTTATCTCTTTACTCTGGGTTGCAACAATGATAGGAAATGAGGTATGGGAGCCATTACTTTTGGGAAGCTGCCTCGTTCTAGCAGAGGCAGGAGAGGGGACAATGTTCCTGAATAACGCAACTGTGTTCATTGCATTCAAACAGTTTCATTTAAAACCTGAAAAACAATCTTTTGTCTGCTGTTTTTAATTGCCCTGATTAGTTGATACAAAAGTACCTGTAAGTAAAAAAATAAACTATTCTTTTTCTTTTCTTCCCTCCAGGAATAAGGAGTAAAAATAATAAGCCAGCAGAAAAAAATGCTAAGCCTAGATCTTTGTTGTTTAGTCATTTTTTCAGTTGTGTCTGACTCTCCATGACCTCATTTGGGGTTTTCTTGGCAAAGATAGTGGAATGGTTTGCCATTTCCTTCTCCAGCTCATTTTACAGATGAGGAAACTGAGGCAGACAGGGTTAAGTGACTTGCCCAGGGTCACACAGCTAGTTAAATATCTGAGGATAGATTTTAACTCAGGAAGAGGAGTCATCTTCCTGACACCAGGCCTGGAAGCTTAGATGCTCCATTTCAAAACCACTCACATCATTTTTACTTCATCATGACTGTGCTATTGTATTTTAACTGTGGTTAAAACAATAGTAATTTCCCCCTCCCTATAACATAATTTCTTTTCTAAATAGCAGAACTAATATATATATACATATATATAATGTTACATATTGAACAAGCCAATGGTGATCAAAATTGGCCACATATTTTAATATGGGAAGGAGATGGTGCCACATGGGAAGGATTTGGAGTCAGGTTCAAATGCTGCTTCTAGTACTTACTTCCTGTATCATCTTGGACAAGTCCCTTGTAGATTTAGAACTGGACTGGAGCTTAAGGGCCTTCTAGTCCCAACCTCTGATTTTACGGATGAGAAAGATAAAGGCTAGAGAGGTTAAAGGACTTCCCAAGGCCACACAAATAGATACCTCCCAGCTGGGTGATCCTGGGCAAGTCACTTAACCCTGTCTGCCTCAGTTTCCTCATCTGCAAAATGAGCTGGAGAAAGAAATGGCAAATCACTCCAATATCTTTTGCCAAGGAAACCCAATATGGGGTCACAACAGGTCAGATACAACTAAAATGATTAGCAACAACAAAGTCCAAATCTCTGATTTACCAGATGAGAAAACTAAGGGCTGGAAAGGATAAGGGACTTGCCCAAGGTCACAAAAAGAGGAGACCTAAGAGACCTTATCAGGTTCCTCATCTCTAAATGAGGAGTTGGCCTAGATGGTCATTAGCATCTTTTCTACTTCTAAATCCATGATCCTATGACTTGTATTTTGATTTCACAGAATCATATACAAGTCATATACAAACATGGCTTGATCTCCACTTCAATTTGCTCGGTATCCTGTATAGTCCCCATATTTTCTTTTATTATGATTATAATTTTTTCTAATCACTTTTAAAATATTTATTTATTTTATTTTTAATTTATTAAATAAAACATATATTTCCATAACATAGTAGAATTTAAAAAAAAGATGATTGCCCATGAAACTGCAAATTTATCAATCATGCTATTCTTTTTAAATACATAATAAAGTTATCATGCAATTTTTTTCTTTTTTTCCCTTTTTTTCTCCCCTTCCCATGTTTTATATGAGTTATTTGTTCATTACACTCTATTTTTCCACCCATCCAAATCCTACTTCTAGACTTGTTCTTATCAAGGCATGATAATTTTGAAATGGTCTAAGATGGTCATAACACCTTTGGTGCTACTATATGAGGTACTTTTCTTTGTTCCACTGATTTTTCCATTAACAACACGGTTCAAAGCTTTCTATTGAAATCAATTTTTCCCTGAGGGTTGTAAAACAATTATATAGCATATTCTCTGCTGTACATTTTGGCTCTTGTTATTTGTTGATTAAAAAGGAATAACTCACCCTGTCAATCTCCAACAGGAATGCAACATTTAGCCATCACCCTCATTCAAGCCCTCCTCACCTCTTGCTTGAAATATTGTAATAGTCTCCTAATTGGTTTCCCTGCATTCGATCTCTCTCCTCTAATCTACACTACCCCAAGCTACAGAATTGATATTCCAAAAGTTGAGGTCTGGTCACATCACTGCCTCACTCAAATAATTTCAGCAGTCATTATACTATGTCTAGGTTCAAACACAATCCAATCACTTAGAGTCCTTCACAATCTGGCTCCAAATTATCTTTACAGACCCATCTCAACATCGGTCTTCGTCATGAACTGTGTGATTCAATCGAACTTGGTAATATACTATTTCACCTCTGTGCCTATGAACAGATTGTCTCCCTTCTCCTTACTCTTCTCAGTATGTAGACTTTTGTTAAAGCCAAACTCAAGTGTTACTTTCAATGTAATGCCTTTCCTGATCTCCCCAGCACTCAGTGTTCAACATTTCCCCATTAAAAACAAAACAACACAAAACAAACAAAAACTACTTTGTATTTACTGTTTATATATTTTGCAGATTCTAACCTATTTCCTCACTGGTTTTTCCCAGTAGAATGTTAAGTCCCTGAGTTTCATTTTCATTTTTGTATTTGTCTCCAAAGTCTGTCATAGTGCCCGGTCCGTCGAATATTCTCAATAAATACTTACTGAAAGGCATTCTGGGGTTGATTCCTTGTTTGGCCATTTGCTGTGGTCTTGGGCCAGTCATATAACCCCCCTTGACCCGGGTTGCCTCCAGAGTCCCTTTTAGTTTCATATCTATGATCTTAAGACCTGCAACTCCTTCTAATTTCTGCACTTTGGCTCATGTTTTTTCCTTCTTCCTGGAAGATATTTCTTTACCCTTCTTTGTCTGCTAAAATTCTGCTCAGTTCTTCAAGATTAAAGTAGTCATCACTTCTTAGACCAGAAACCCTGAGGGTCTTTTTTTTTCTTTTGAGTAGGCAACTAGGCCATCTTTTTCTCATTTCTTGCGTCGCCAGTGTTTTACACTGAATGGGTGTCGTCTTAGACAAAATGAAACCTAAGAAAGACCATAGCTTAAAAAGCCAAGTTCTCCCTCTGCATCTGGAGTCATCTCCAGTCATCTTGACCTGTCTTGCCCCTGGACTCAGATGACCCTGGAGGAGAGAATGATACAATGACTTTTCACAGCTCTGCCTCACTTAAATCCTATTCACCTGCAAGTCAAGACATCACCTCATGATGTCATTGGTCTTCTTCAAGAATGATGGACAAACAACAATCTTATACTAAGCCAATTTTGATCACCAGCCTAACATAATTTCTTCTTGCTCTAAAATCCTACATTATTTTGCTGCATTTTCCTCATAACTTGTCCCATACTACCTTACTGACACTCAGTGGTTGCTGCACTTTCAATCAGGAAGAGTATAGTTCAAATCTAGCCTCAGACACTTAGCTGTGTTACTTAGGTTACTTAAGAGACCTAGGCAAGTCACTTAATATTTCTTAGCCTCAATTTCCTTAATGCAAAATGGGGATAATAATAGGATCTACTTCTCCAGTTTTGTGAGGATAAAAGTTAATAACCTACGTAAAATGCTTTGTAATACTTAAAGTGCTACATAAATGATAGCCATTATTAGCATCGTAATTGTTATTATTATTATTGGCATGGTTAGGTCTTACTTCCTCTACTAAAGTAAAATGCCTTGCTGTTTGGAAACAGGACTACTTTTCTCTTTTACATTCTCCCACTCTCAATCCCAGGCCCTCCTGTGCCTGGTATTTGTCCAGGTGATTCAAAAATTCCAATTTGAATTAAACTGGATTAACATCTCCATAGCTTTTACTAGGTTGCATTACCATCCTTTCCTCCCCTAGTTCTATTACTATACCTCTAATCCCATCACCATGCTTCTAACTCAAGGCTTAATTGACACCATCTCCCTCAGCCTCCTCTTCCCTTCTTATTGGATGGCTGGAGGGTAGAACATCAAACTCCTCCTTATGCCTTCCTTTATTGACAACAGAAACTGGATTTTTTTGACCCACTCCACTCAGCATCTGCTGTTCTGTCTGGTTTCAACTCCATGGAATAAGATGTTCCTACACTAGGTAAGTCTCCCCCTACCCCAACACCACTTCACTTCCCTTCCCTCCCCATTTTGTCTCTCTCTATCAGATGATGAGTTCTTTGAGAGCAGGGACTATCTTTTTATTAATTGTATCCCCAGGGTCTGGTACACAGTAAGCCTTTAATAAATGTTTATTGGATTGCTAGATTAGATTAAATTGGAGTGTACTATTTCCACTATTGTTTCTATTGTGCACTTCAGA